TTTTGTTTGTGGCTTGTTCAAAAAATGACTCAAGCAGACACATTTATTGTTTGACAAAAGGACATTTGACATTCATCTCCAGATTATGGACTTTGATCTGAAGAGGTTGTAACATTGTTTAGGTTTTTATGATCTCATTCCACATTGTGATCCAATAAACTATATTGCCAAATGTATTCTGTCACCAATGCAAATTATTGAATTCAGTTGTTCCAATTGCTTCCATGGCCACAGGTGTATAAAATCAAGCACCTAGTCATGGAGACTGCTTCAACAAACATTTGTGAAAGAATGGGTCGCTTTGAGGCGCTCAGTGAATTCCAGTGTGGTGACGTGATAGGATGCCACCTGTGCAACAAGTCCAGTTGTGAAGATTTCCTCACTACTAAATATTTCACAGTCAGCTTCTAGTGGTATTATAAGAAAGTGGAAGTGATTGGGAACGACAGCAGCTCAGGCACGAAGTGGTAGACCATGTAAAATCACAGAGTGGCATCAGTGGATGCTGAGGTGCATAGTGCACAAAGGTCACCAAATTTCTGCAGAATCAATCACTACAGACCTCCAAACGTCATGTAGCATTCATGTAGCTCAAGAACAGTGTGTAGAGATCTTCATGGAATGGGTTTCAGTGGCAGAGCAGGTCCATCCAAGGCTTATATCACCAAGCGCAATACACATTTGGTGGATTGGGGATTATGGTGTAGGACTGTTTTTCAAGAATTGGGCTCGGCCAATATGACTGCACACTGCTGCACAAAGCGAGGTTCATAAAGACTTGGTGAGCGAGTTTGGTGTGGAAGAACTTCACTGGTCTGCACAGAATCCTGACCTCAACCCAACGTAACACCTTTGGGATGAACTAGAGTGGAGACTGTGAGCCAAGCCCTCTAGTCCAACATCAGTGTCTGACCACACAAATGTGCTTCTGAATGGTCAAAAATTCCCATAAATACTCCTAAACCTTGGAAAACCTTTCCAGAAGAGTTGAAGCTGTTATAGCTCCAGAGGGTGGGCTGGCATAATATTAAACCCTATGGATTAAGAATTGGATGCCACTCAAGTTCACATGTGTGTGAAGGCAGACAGGCACTTTGGCAATATAGTGTGTCAATATGCTTATTAGCTGAAGCGCCATCTTAATTGATCAAATAGGATACCTCCAAGCGAAGACCTGCATGTTGCTTGTTTATATTAGCAACAACTTGGTAGTTGTTCTTTTACTCAGTGTGCTTCTACAAGATGCTGCACGGATTTATCGCTTTAAACTGTGGTGACACTTTTATGACCTGTGATGTAATAAAATTATGTTACAGCCCAAAATTTCCACTTGCTGTTCCAATATAATCTGGAAGTTTTACACATGTAGGACTTGTTTGTCAGAGACATGTATCAAGTAAATCACAAAGAGTTAAGATAAACTGTAAAAACCTGCAAAGTCAGCCCGGAGTGAGCTGATGGGAATCGTTATCGGGTATAGAAATGACTGCACATGCAGTTCATCTGTGATATCATCACTTCTTTGCTGGCTTCTCTCCTCGTCCCTCTTTGCTTCACTTGCTTGATTTATTACCTTCTTCTTTGTCCTACTGTTCTAATTACTGGTTTTTGCATATGTGTGTGCGTGTGTGTGTACTGTCTTCCCTCTGGACTAAAAGCTGCACATGATTCAGGTCTACATGTCTGGCTTCCTCTCAGCTGCTGTCAAGCTCTCTTTCTAACTGTTTGCACCATTGCTCTATTCTTTGTCCCACTTTATTCATTTTCCTTTTTATTCCTTCTTTGTGTCTATGAATGTCTCTTCATCCATCTCAGTTCCACCTTGAGTTCCTTTTTAACATTTTCTAAGAATTACTCCATTAATAATCTACCTTTTTGTCCATTTCTATTTCTACTTTTTTCTGCATGCTTATAATGACTAATGTTCATGATGATGCCCATCTTTTCTCCTCATAATTGCCTTTTTGTAGATTGCTCAGAAGTTAGTAGAATATGCTGTCACCATCATCTTTGACTCTAATTGGCTTAAAGAAATAATTTTATATGGTTGTTATATCACTTTTCTACTCCTTCTCTCTGTGTCCACCTTCTCTTTTCTCATTTTATGCACTTTTTAGGACCTGCAGGCCTTAACCCACATTGCAAAGAAACACACATCTACTTGCTATCTACAGATAGTAAGTCCAAGTAAGTCCACTTATGAATAAGTGTGGCATCTTCAATGATATGACCCATTCCTTCTTGTTATTGTGTTAGCGTGTATTTATCACCCTCCTGCATACTGTAGTAAAGGCACTTATATATAGCCCTGTGTATTATATCTAGGTCTATTATGAGGCAAGCACTTCACAGTACTGTAAAGTACTAAAGACCTTGGAGGCATTAAACTGCCTCAAAGTAAATACGCCATGAGTCTCTGTAAATCTGCCAGACTCACTGACTTCCATGCATCCTTGCTTATTTTCTTTCATGCATTTCCTTCATCAGTCCCTTCCTTCCTTTCAGTCTGACTTCCTTCTCTGCTTTACTACTTACCTTCTCAACTCTTACACTCCCCCCTTCTCCTTCCATTTCTTACATTATTCTTCTGCGACATTTGTTCCTTATCTTTTCCTTCTTCCTCTATTTCTAACTTCCTGAAATACTTGCCATCTTTTCTTTTCTCTTGCTTTCTCTCCTCTTTTCAACTCTAAGCCTGCACTGGATCGATAAAAGGGAAGGTGAGAGGGCGGTTGGCCTTTACGCTTGTTTCTTTATACCATGAGCAGAGGTACTTTGGGAGACACAAAGACAGCGAAACAGAAAAGGATGTCTATGTTTTGTGATTATGGGTCTCCTAGGAACAGTCTTTTCTCTGCTCTTGTGTTTTGTCTTCAACGCGTAGCTCACTGGATTGCTACATATTATTTTATTTCATTATTCATTCATTTTAATTCATCGACATGTGCACGACAGTCCATCTAAGGTGACATGAAGAAAAGAAAGAGAGATCAAGGGGTGCTGATGTCACAGTGGATTATGATACAGATACATAAAAACTCCAGAATATTGTTATGAATCTCACTACTGTACATGTAGATGTTTCTGTGTTCCAATTAGTATGATTACTAATCTTTGTTGAGAAAAGTGGGTTAAATACAGGCTACTGTAGCCCAGCGGGACAGCAGAGAGAGGCAAAGAAGTGGCACTTAATTTAGATAACGAGATACCACATTAACTAAAAAATTAACTTCTGAATAATTTTCAAAATTTTTGTTTAATGTAAATTTATGAACTGAAACAAAACCACATTCAATTAGATCAAATACAAAGGTGAAAGGAGCACATACTGACAGTACAAGCTGTGCACACACAGTTTATGGTTTTCTTTGGTCAGTATACCCGAGTTAGATTTTATTTATTTGTAAGCAGCAAGTTTTAATATGATCGGATTTTCTTTACTGTGTGGCCAGGCCACACTCCTGACCTCATGTTCTACCTCTGGCCATTTTAAACTGTGCCCAGGACAGAAACAGCTGCATTGTGCTGCTAACACAACTTCAGCTCTTTGCAAACATCTGCACAGACAGCATGCTAATGCTAACCTAGCCAAGAACCCAGAGTGATGTTAAAGCTGCGCGAATGCCGACCCCAGCCCTGAACTTAACAGGTAACAAACTGATAAGAAGTCAGGCTGTAGCCTCTGTTTCTACCTCTTCATGTTTCTACAGTAGAATCACTGTGACGATTCTACTGTAAAGTCTCTTTGTGCTGGTTTTCATATTTGCTCTATGCTGTCAGCTTTGTGTTTATCTGTAGATACTGAGAGAAAGATCATACATGTGTCCTCATTAGAGATAGAGATTTGTGTTGGTGTGTGGGGCTGTAGACTCAGGTTGATATCGTTAAATGCTGATTATGAGACAGTGTGCTTCAGGTCATTTTACAAAGAAAACGTTCCCCTGGGAGTAATTAAGTAATCTATTACATTACTTTTAAGAAAATGTTCTTTGCAATATATGTAATACATTACTTTTTCTGAGTAACAACCCCAACACTGATCACAACAAAAAGGGGAAATACCTCCAGCATGCACAAAAATTTGACCACAGAGCATGCAGTTCATTTGCATGAATGTATTGTCGTTGATATGTTGCTTAGTGATGGTGGTGACTCTCAAAGCAGACCCAATGAGAATCAATAAGGAATCTAATTGATAAGTGATATCAATAATATCATCAAATCCCTAAAATTGTTATTATTTTTCAATTACCTTCCCTAGCAGAGCGTGATCTCAGGGGAGACAATGGAGCATTTCGTGATGTACACAGACGCTTCATCTGGATGTTCATTAAAGTTTTAAAAACAATAATGTTGTTTTTGAGCCTCAGAAAATAGACAACTATGTATAAAAATCAGTATCATTGCTAAGTAGTTAAACCCATTGCATTTGCACTTTAGTCCCATCTCCAAATACTTATGGATGTAACTGTATGTGTAAACATCCAGCACATCCAAAAAATAAAAATGGAAAGGAGGAAGTTAGGGATTAAAACGAGATACGGAAAACTCTAGTAGAAGTAACGAAAAACTCATAAATAAAAAAAATAAATGAAATCAGGAGGGACATCTAAATTTATACAAATGTAGCAGGTGTAGTAAGATGGAAATAAAGAAATGGGAATAAAACAAGACAACATCTTTGTTATATCATAAAAAGAAAACAAAAATGTAAAATGAAAACCTGAGTGAAAAAACAGATCATGATAAAGAATAAGGCTTAAGAAAAATATATATTTTTTAGAGAAACTGAAACACGAGCTGCACATCTAACTGCATCCACACAGTGAAGAGGATTAGGTTCAACAGTGGAATGAAGAACACTATCTGCTTGTTGAATGTTATTGATTGTTTGGTGAAAAGTAAATTTGACTGCGTTTGTACTAGTAGAGTTTTTGTTCTTGTATGTCTGCAATAACACGTGTTCAGTGTGATGTCTGTAGGTGTTCCGTTCCTCTTACCTCCACCAGATGTGGTGTTGGGTTGAAGCCGCACAAGTTACACACTTGGCTGTGACACTGCGTGCAGGTATTGTAGTTAGGTGGGTCGGAGCTACCGATGTTCAGCTCTGTTTTACAAAGAGGACAGTTCACTTTGGGTTTCACAGGCTCTGGAGCAACCGCAGGTGCTGCTGCCACAGGCTCCTGCTTCTGCTGCACTTTCTGCTGATGAGTAGGTGTCTTCTGCTGTTGCTGTCCTTGTGGCTGTGTTTTTTGTCCTTGCTGTCCTTTCTGTTGATGAGCAGGTGACTGCTTCTGCATTTCTTGTTGTTGGGGCACGGTCTGCTGCTGTTGCTTCTGGGTTGGCATATGGGGTCCACCCATAGGACCACCCATTTGGCTTGGTGCATGAAGACCTCCCATTTGGCTCGGTGCATGAGGACCCCCCATTTGGCTCGGTGCATGAGGACCCCCCATTTGGCTTGGAGCATAAGGACCTCCCATTTGACTTGGAGCATGAGGGCCCCCCATAGTGAATGGTTTAGTACTGGTGGTCCCTTGTTGTTGCTGCCTGTTGTCAGGTGTTGCATTACTGAACACCACCTTGCCTCGTGCGGGGCTTGGCTGGGTGGAGGCAGTAGGTAGCGGGTCAACATTGATCAAGGTACTAGCCTGATTAAGCAGTGATGCCCCAAAGCCAAACAGTTTGGTCAGGCCATCCTGGGCAGGAGGGGCCTGACTCTGAGGTCTGTGGGCTGGGGAGGATCCAGCACTTCTGGTCTGGTCGTGGCGTGCCATAGATTGGTGCATTGGGGAACCACGACCCAAATCTGGTTGGGAAGGTGCCTTGGTCAAACCAGGGAGGGGTACTGCACCAGGATGAGGAATCCGAGGACCCCCTGGTTGGCTAAAGCCTCCTGTGGGACCTCTAATAGTTCCTGGAGCTCCAGGACCGGTCTGGGAGTATGGATCAGATCTCATGCCCTGCTGAGAAGGCCCTGTATGAGACTGGGAGCCAGCAGGGCCTGGATGTCTCTGTAAGCCAGGGGATGTATAAGACTGAGTCTGGGACCCTAGCTGTGATGAAGCATATGACTGCTGCTGAGACTGTGGATACTGCTGCGACTGGGAGTAGGGCTGAGTCTGGCTGTAGGGCTGAGACTGAGGTTGCTGTTGCTGCTGCTGCCGCTGGGTGGGCTGACTCTGTGCCAAAGATTTTGGCTGCGCTGCTGCTGTCGGCTGTGTTGGCTGAGGCGCAGGCTGCTGAGGCTGGACAATCGGCTTGGCTTGGTGGGACGGAGAGTGAATCTGCTGTTGGCTCTTAGAACGAGGCGTGGTCATATCAATGCCGAGAGCTCTCTGCATCTGACAATTCAGACACAGCCATTCCTGGACCTGCAGGCCAAAAAAAAAAAAAAATACAAAAAAACTAATGAGTATGCTTAAAATCCACTTTTTCCAATTTGAAAAGCCATTTTACTTTGTCTCTGTAACAATAATGCATACATAGTTTTTGGCAACAGTTTGGTCGAAGTCTTTCATTGGCACTATAGAGTTAGTTCTGAATTAAATATTCAAATGGTGACTGTATTGTGAATATGTCAGTCAACTAAATGGAAATAGGTTCAATGTAATTTCCTTGACCACATCTTTGGCATTACCACTGAAACGTAAATCAGCCATCTGTCAGTTTGAACAATTCTTTGTATAACACTGTATAACACGGCTCAAGAACGTTAATGATGTAGTGTTACCATTGAGCTATCGCTATAATTAATTCATATTTTCTTTCAAAGGTAATTACTATTGATTCCTCTGAATATTATTGATGACTCAGACATGACACACTAGTGTTTCCTACCACCCAAACCACATAATCTGTGTTCATTCACCCAACTTGCACATGAAATATGATTCATTAGTCTTTCCATGGATGTCTTATGTGAAGACAATATAGCAGTTATCAATTAGAACCAGAGGGAGAGAAATCAACCACAAACTGACTGCAATGCTTAATGACAGCACGGTAGAAACTGCAGCCGAAGTGAAAAGAATTGCATCCCTCACATGTGCCAAAAAACATAAATCCACACAGACACGCAGGTATGCGCACATGCTACCATACAGATACAGCATGGGCACAAAGGAGATACAAACAGATGTACAAAGAGATACAGTCAAATGAAACAAATATGCAACACTCCTCACCATCTAAAAATAAAAATAAAGCATCACCCTGCTCCTCCTCCTCCTCCTCTTCTTCTGTCCTCCTCCTTCCTTTTCTTCCTCCTCCAGATGAGAGCTGATACTCCCTTGTGTCCGGACCTTGCTTGCTTCTCTAATTTCTCCCGACTGCGAAAACAACCCAGCTCCTCTCTCAGCTGTGCCAGTCTCCTCTTGTCCTGTCTTTCCAACTGTAGCTTTGCATTCACCACTGATACCTTGCTGCCATAAATAGTGCTATTTTAGCTCCCCTGCAGTCAGAGCAAAGCTAGTAAATCTCTGCACGTTTCATGCATTTCTCCCATCCCCTTTTCTTCCCACAATGCAATGCGCAGATGTACTGTGTTACCCCACCCGCTGTTCAATAACACCCCCCTACCCACCCATCCCTTTTCTAATTTTTTTGCAAAGTGGTACAGTGGAAGGTGGCTCCTTGAATTTAAAGGGTAGGATGTGCAAACATTGGGACAGGAGAGAGAAAAAAGCCTGCATCACTCACATACCCTAACTAAGCAATTCCTCCCACTGTGCTGCTTTGCTGTCTGGCATTTTCTAGCTTGACAGCATTACTGATCCCATGTTCCGTTACAGCTACATCGCTGTTCCTCCTTAACATATTCTCTCTTTAGCTTTCCTACCTAGCATCCGCTTCTTCTGCCTCTGTTTTTCTTCTTTAATTCTCTCTTCTTTCCTCCTCTTACCAATTATTCTTGTTTTCATCCTTATCCCGTTTTTCTGTTCTCTTTCTGATCAGTTTGAAAATGTAGGTCTCGTTCCTCAAATAGCTAAAGTGGAAAGAAATTTAAAAGTCTAATTTTGCTGTGCACGGTCCTCCTATGTTGTGTTGTCATAATTACATCTGATGAAGATGCAGAGGGGGAGGAAGAAGAAGAGAAGTGGATAAGGAGGAAGAGAAGGGGGGCTTTAATCCTGTCTCCCTGTCTACCCCTCTGCTTTAAACACTACATCACAAGAGACACTGGAAGGAATGAGGGATGCAGTGAAGGATGGGGGGATGGAAAGAACAGGGAGGAGATGGAAAAAGCAAACAGTGGAGAGAAAGAAGTCAGCAGTTTTTTTTAATCCCAGCAGCTTTTCAGCTCTCATCATGTCAAGCTTAATCAACAGCACAGCAAAGCAGAATCTGAGCTTCCACGATGTGGTTAAAACCAGTGAATCCTTTGCACGTGCACCTGTGCCGTAACAGATGAGGAACAATGTCTTTGCTAATTGTGCAGGAGTTACAGGTTTTGTTCAACAATTTATACAAAAGTGATGATAACTTTGCCCTTTTTTAAAACACAGAAGAGAAAAAACAAGTGGAAACTACAATGGGTACTAAGTCTGGGGTGTACAAAACAAACCTCACTGGGTACATTGGTTTTTCTACATGCAAAATTACAAAGGGTGTGATCAGCATGCTCTGAACCAATCACATCTAATCATTCAGACAGAACTTTACCAGTGACAGACAATCACAACAAAAAAGCTCGGCTTACAAAAGGAGCTCACAACTTTGTCGTCTGTAAGTTGGATGGCATGATATTGGCCCCATTCTAATTCAGACTCTACCTCTTCCTCCCTGGACACTAACACTGCATTTGTGCCACTCCAAACCAACTATCCTTAAGTGAGAGAAAATCAAGGGCATCGTAACGGTGCTGCTGTATTTCAACCCCCCATTTCATTAAGAGACCTCGGAGCTACGCTGGTTTCAGGTTCTGTTTAGTCATTTCCTGTTTTATTATGAATATTTGTTTCATTTAATTCTTCTTCTTATGTTAGTTTTTTAACCTCTAGTTTTGTCCTCCATCTGTCAACAGTAATCTAATTTGACTCTTATGTAGGTCTTCGCAGGTGTCACAACATCTTGTTACTCCTTGTACTCGACCTAACTAGGCTTTTCCTTGTGCATGAGTGTTGAGCTTTAGTTTCACATAGTAAAGCATGAACAGTTGTAGACGTAGATCTATCAAAGGTTTTTAGTAAGGTAACCTCTTGAAGTGCAACAGCAGGAAATGTCTTACAATCCAAACATGTGCACTCGACATTATCCATTTTATATAGCGCCAAACCACAACAACACTGGTGTCAAGGTGCTTCATATAGTAAATGCTACAATGCTAAAATCCAATCAACAGCAGGAATTCAACCTTATAATTACTATATTTCTTAATTAATACACTAACTATAAGGTTACTGTAGGCGTGAAGTCCTTGAAAAACTTGAAAAACATAATTTTCAAGAAATTTTCAAGAAAAAGCTGACTTTAAAGTTGCAAGTATAAAATGTAGCAAATGACACAAATTCAAAAACTGATCCAGTAAGTCAGCTTTACCAGTAAATAAATAAAGTCGAAACACATACAGTTTGGTCTATAATTATCTGGACAATGACACATTTTTTGCGATTTTTCCTTTCTACACTGCCACAGTGGATTCTAAATCAATGTATGTGTTTAATATTTATTCTACATCAAACAATCAAGAAGTTGAAGTTCAGACTGGAATTAGTCCAAACACTTGTGAGGCCTTTTATTGTTATTGTTATGTTCTAATGTAAAACAATATATTTCATATACTATATATTTATATATACATATATTTCATTAGAAATCCCCAAATCTATTAACATAGGGGTGGCCAACTCCAGGCCTCGGGAGCCGGTGTCCTGCAGGTTTTAGGTGGGTCAACACACCTGAATGAAATGATCAGTTCATTACCAGGCCTCTGGAGAACTTCAAGAAATGTTGAGGAGGTAATTTAGCCATTTAAATCAGCTGTGATGGATCAAGGACACATCTAAAACCTGCAGGACTCTGGCTCTCAAGACCTGGAGTTGGCCACCCCTATATTGACATTATGAATACTGTATACGAAGTATACAGAACCAACCGGACAGGAGTGCAGGAGTCACTTCGAGATCCAAGACATGGACTCATGTCTGTGTTCACAAATTTCTACCAGTCAGCTTGCATGTGGTGTGCTGCTTAGCTCAGACCATTTCCCAGACCCACAGAAGTTATCAAAAGAATAAATAGCTGAAAATGTATTTTTTCTGAAAGGAGGAAAATGAGCCCTGACAATCTCCAGCAATGCTGACTCTGCACACTCACACAGGAGGAAAAACGGGAGGGGGGCGGGGGGCTTCTCTGCATTGTAGCTTCTTATGCATACATCACAGAAACATGATTCAAGATTTAAATGGAAGAGCATACTTATTACATGATATAAATTGCAAGAGAGCTTTCCTGTTCTCAAGCATTTTCAATAGCACAGCACATTTGATCTTCACATGATAGAAGACTTGCTTTCAGTCTAATCTTTGTTAGCTCTTGGTGCAAATATGTCTGCAAGAACTGTTTCTCCTGAGGCTGAAGCTCCAATAAAACTTAAAGAATAGTATAAAGAACAGCTTTATTACTGGAACAACACGTTTCGGCCTGTGGCCTTCGTTATATTACAAATACACACATTTATATACAGAAAATTTTACCTAATAACAGAAAATGTTGTTTACCAGTGCAAAAAATGAATCATAATATGTGTATTAAGAAGAATAACATAACCTAGTGACCTGTTGTTAAGGCCTGGTGAATTAAAAACATAGAAAAGTACTGTAAATGCCACAGACTTATTTACAAGACTGTGAATGATGTTTTCCGAGAAAAACAAGCACACTGCAGACTATTACTGTAACCTCTTATCTCCACTTTGAGAAGCACAGCTCTCCTCAAGGACTCTGATTTCCTCAATCGCATTTCACTTTCTCTTTCTGTTGCTACCACTCTTATTTCTCTGTAGACACTTCACACCTCCACTCACACACATGGAGGTCTCAGCTCCTCTTGCAACAGTCATTAGCCTGAAGGTCAGGTCTGTCTATTTAAGAGGCTGATCTCTGTTAGTATTGTGTCTCTACGACACAATATGATCGCAGTGAAAACAACTGGATTCATCTTTAACAGGGCCATAGGTGTCAAACAGCTGAACAGATGCTGTAACGCAGATAGGGAGACTCATTTGATGTTACCCAAATTAATACAGATGTTGCAGGAAATAGATAAACTGTGTTTACTCAAATAACCAAATTATAGCAGACAGTTAAATATGAGCAAGAAAACCATTTTGGCAATTAAGAGAATGAATTGGTGAATTTGTAACCCCCCCCCT